TCAATATAGGGATAGAGATGTTACTGTTTTGGTGGATGATATAGATAAGGAGAATTTGATAGACCTTATTGTTGAGTATTGGGAAAAAACACAGGAAAATGATGTTGAAACACCCCAAAATCCCACATTTAAGTACGTGTATAAAATGAAGCATGTGAATCTTGAGAGTGATAGTGATTTGATGAAAATATTTGCAAACTTGGCTGATAAGAAAGAGATTTATATATGGGTTGGGGACGGTACTAAGGACATTAAGGTTGTTACAGCAGCTAGGTCACTGGTGAAGGGAAAGAATCCAATTGTTGAGCCTGAAATTGTTAGTGTTAGAAAAAAACTCACACCTAGGAAGAAGAAAGTGCCAGATGTGATTGAAGTTGAAGTGATTAGTAAGGCTGAATTTGATAAACATGTTCAGGGACTAGATAAAACACCTCTAGTTGAACCTGAGGTTCTAAATTATGACATTGATGAAACTTGGGCTGACATTGAACAAAGAGGGGAAGTGATGAGAGAGGGAGAGGAAAGGGTATAGGGATAAGGAGAGGGAGAGGGTCTGGTAGAGAGAGAGGTGTTGGGTGAGGAAGAGGTGCTGGTAGAGGGAGAGGGACAGAGACTTGGAGAGGGAGAGAGAGAGGGAATGAATTAGAGAATGGTTTCAATATCTCCCCTACCCCATGGAAAACTGACCAAGTTGACCAATCAAGCTACACCCCATGTCCCTGAGTACCAAGTCCCAGCTGAAGTTTAGAAGAAGAAGAGAAATCTAAAGATAACTATGGGCTTATGATTAAAGATTGTTATGATCCATTTGAGGATCCACAGTTTGAGTGAGAATGAACAAGACAATTATCTCACAAAGTTATATAACAATGGAGAAGTCTACAAGGATGAGGGGTTTGGCAAGATAGTGCTGAAGGAATGGCAATTGTTTACTGACAAGTAACATCTCAGGGGTGTTGTAAGAGATTATTGCATTTAATGTGGGTTTGTTGTTGTTGTTGTAGACTATGCTAGCAACTTAAGGTATGGTACTAGATGCTCAGATCTTCATTGTGGCTGGAGGTTACATGCATCTGTTTTTCCAGATGGTACAACATGGGCAATTAAAAGCATCTAGAACTCAGAGCACGCATACATGTCAAGGCCTTGACTCAAGGATCAACATGATGGATGTTAAATGGGCTAAGAGAGTCTTAATAGATGATATCAGAGCCAATAATGACATCCCTGCCAAGTCTCTGAATGATCTTTTATGGAAGAGATATGGAGTTCATATGTCTCAAAGCACATTATACAAGGTGAGAACACATGCACTAGTTGAAATTCATGGTGGCCATGATGTTTCTTACAAGGATCTGCCCATATATTGTGATGTAATCAGAGAGTTAAACCCATATTCTAAGGTTTTTTGTGCCTGGACAAAAGAAAACCCTAAGAGCCCTTTAATGTTTAGCAGCATTTTCATTTCATTCAAAGCTGCATTAGATGGGTTGATTGCTGGTTGTAGAAGCCTGATTGGTGCAGATGGGGCTCATCTTAAGGGTAATTATGGGGGAGTGTTACTCTCAGCAGTTGCTTTGGATGGAAATAATGAGATATTTCCAGTTGTCTGGGCAATAGTGGGAGGAGAAGACACTGAAAACTAGAAGTTTTCCATTTGGCATTTGAAGAATGCACTCAAGGACTCTGGAGGGGTGATGAATGGTGCATAATGTCTAACAGGCAAAAGGTGAGGTTTTTTTTACATATTTTTATGCAAGTTGTTGTTGCTTGCATATTTTCTATATTTTCCAATACTAATACATGTATATATAATTGTTAAGGGTATTGATGTTGCCTTGACTTACTTGTGGCCAAAAGTGGGAAGAAGGGTACTATAGTAAGGATTTAATTTGGTGAAGAATTCCAAGGTCAATTTTCCTGGTTTATTGATGTTCCAACTATTTTGGAAAGCGTCTGGGGCATAAAATCCTTTTACCTTCAGAAAAGCAATGGAAGCTCTTCAAAAAGCCAATCCTAATGTATTAGTGTGGCTGTCAAAAGTTGGACCACAGTCAACTTGGTCAAAGCATGATTTTAACCCAACTATTAATTGTGATACAAACAAATCCAACTTTGTGGAAAGCTACAATGCTACTTTAGGAGTTGATAGGTGCAGGCAAGTGTTGACTTTGCTTGAAGGTAATTGTTTGGTTGCCTTGCTTTAATGCTGAATTATATTCTAAATGATTTTCATGCTAATATGTATCCCTAATTATGACTGCAGGGGTTAGGAGATTGACTATGGTTAGGATGGCTACAAGAAGGGAAGTATGTGAGGGATAGTGGGATGATATATGTCCTAACATCATGAAAAGGATGCAAGTGATAAGCCATGAATCTAGGAGTTGTAAATGCTTAAAATCTAGAGAAGGAAAGTTTGAGGTTTTGGATGGCAGGTCAGTTCATCCTGTCAACCTTAAGGAAATGACTTGTGCTTGTAATGCATGACAACTGTCTAGATTATCCTGTTAACATGCTACGAGGGCCATACTTCATTCAAATGATGACCCAAAAAAGTACATCAGTTAGTGGTACTACGTCAGGAGGTATAAGCTCACTTATGCCAATAATATCAAGGCTATACCTGATGTGGAACAGTGGCCTCCCTGATAGTCATTATGCAGAGATAGGCCAACCACCTATGAAAAAAGGGATTGGAAGGCCTGCTAGAAACAGAAGAAGAAAAGAAGGTGAGCAAGCCAAAGGCAAGAGATTCAAGACTGTTAAATGTGGTAAATGCCAACAATTTAGCCATAACTCACAAACATGCCAAGGTGGCTTGATTGGGAAAGAGAAGGCTGCATTGGGTGGTGGATCACATTCTCAGGCCAAGAAGCAACCTACAAGACAAAAAAAAGGGGGGGGGGGGGGTTTCAGCAAGCCAACCAGATCCAACAACAGTTGCAACTTCCTCACAACTAGTAAGGGTGTCCCCAAGAGCAAAGAAGGCAAAGAGAGGAGTATCAGCATCACAACCTGTTTAATTAACATTCGTTTTCTGAATAGTTTTTTATGATAGTATGCTTGGTTTTTTTTTGGCATGTTTGTGTGATATTTACAATACATGTGTAAATAGATAAGCTTCATATGTATGGTGGTTTTTTTGGACAAATTTGTGTGATATTTACAGTACATGATATTTGAAGCATATGTTTGCTTGTTTTGCCTTGCTATTTTTGTCTCAATCAGATTTTAATTTGCTCCCAGTTTTTTATGCATATTTTGATTCTACTAATCAGATTTTAATTTAATCAATATTTTGATTCTACTAATTCAATTATAAATCAATAACAAAGAATGCAGACAACTCATAAAACACAAAGAAAGTGCTTTTATTCATTAATAAAGGGGTACATATAACTGATTGGGATTCCATAATAACCTTCAATGCAAAACCAAACCTTAATACCCTAATCCTTCCAGCTACACTTACATTACTTTGCAACAAAAAAAAAAAAAAAAAACAGAACAAAATACATAATCAGAGCCACCGTAACAATTACTTTGATAAAATTAACCAATTCATCAAGCCTGCCAGTAACAGCAAGATTACCACCTTGTTCAACCCCAAATTCAGCCCTTGGCCTTATTATATCCCTTTCCTTCAACCACGCAAAGAAATCGCAACTCCTACACTTAAAGAATAATCTTCGTGGGTTTTTCGTAGTCTCTGAAATCTTCACAGAGCAATCTGGGAGGAACACAGTGACATCGAACATGCTTCACCCAAACAAGCCTATCATCCATGGTGATAGGCTTCAAAGACGAAGACGAAGAGCACGAATTTTTCATGGGTGTAGAATTGGAATTGCGATTAGAACAGAGAGAATTGGAGATGGAGTAAATTAGGGTTCATATAAAGGGGTAAATTGGGGAAAACGATTTAGGAGAGAATAGGGGATATAACAGTTGGAGGGAAAGCATTTTAGTAAGGTTAAATTAGTCATTAAGTGTGTAGTTAACTAGGGTTAGGCTTATATCTACTAAATAACATCATTAATGTCACCATTAGTTTAATATAACAAATTGGAGTTTACCAAATATAATTAAATTTTTTGCAATTTACCACTGAGAAAATTAAAAACCTTAGTGTTACCAAAGAAAATTTCCTAAATATTTTTTTCAACCGTTAAAAACGACCTTTCTTTTTCTTATACCCAAAAATCTCTGTTGCAGCTTCTTGAGATAATATCTCCATTTCTTTTTCACACAAATAATTGCCAAGAACCCTAATTTTAGAAAACCCCCCAATTTTATTCCCAAGAACCCTAATTTTAGAAAACCCCCAATTCTATTGCCAAGAACCCTAATTTCAGGAAGAAAAAAAATTATATAATCCAATTCTATTGCCAAGAACCCTAATTTCAAAAAAATAATAATAATAAATCTCCAGTTCTATTACCAAGAACCCTAATTGTGTTTGACAATTTCACACAAATAATTGAGCTCACCTGATTGTGACTTCAATATCAGCACTTGCGTGGGAGAATTCTTCAAATTATAACTTGCAAAAATTCGGAGAATTTGGGGGTAATTGGTGTCGATATTCTGGAGGAGTAGGATGAGTTGTTTTATGCAACAAAATCGAGGGGAAAAAAATTAAAGAAGGGTCAAACTAGCCGATATGTGGGGCCCCAACCGGAAAAATGATCGGAATGAGGCAAAAGGTGGTGATTTAAATATTTTTTAAATTTAAGGGGTGATAATTTAAAATAAATAAAATTTTGGGTGGTAATTTCAAAATGTGTGTTATTAATGGGTGGTAAATTACAAAGATTGATGCTAATGCACCTTCCTATCTAATTAGTAGAGATACTGTAAACAGGTCAGACATGGGTTGCAGCTTCTAATACAGTTGCAAAGACTGATGCTAATCACCTTCCTGTCTAATTAGTAGAGATACTGTAAACAGGTAAGACAAGCTTTGCAGCTTCCAACACAGTTGCGATCACATGGAATGTGCACAAATTGGCACCCTTGATGCCCCTAATGTATTTAAGCTTAGTTAGCTCATTTACAAAGCTATGTCGTATCTCCAAGAGAAACCTATGTTCAGCTAGAAAGCTGAACTATTACATGGTCACTAGATCAATAGGATCCTGCACAACATTAGCGCATTGCGCGGCCACAATAAAGATTTTCTAGATAAACTAATGGCAGTTTTCGAGCCTGTTATACATTAACAAAACATAAAACTCATGCAAAGTATAATGACAGCAGCAGGAAGATCAAGAACCACCTTCAGATATCCCCGAAGAACCAGCAATATCTTCAATTCTCATGTTAATTGCCATTTCTTCAACCAGCTTTCCCTTGTCAGCTGACTCATTAACAGCCTTATCCAATCTTTTTAGCCATCCATCATAGTCAACTGGATATGGAGTCCCACATAGGGTGTCTACGTAATCAGCAAACGCCTTCAGAATAGCAGAAACTTCACCAAGGTGTCTCTGAATATGTCTCTTAGCCCAGCTCCTCTGCCTCCATTGCAGAGCAGATTCTATTGAATCTTGTTGCTGCATATTTCCTCCACACAAGAAGTACAGTAAATAAACAAGGCTCTCCACATCAGATGAGGGGCAAAGTTTTCCGTGCTGAAGAGTATGGGATGACGAAAAAAACAAGTTCATTGCAGGGCCATCTCTTTCCTCCAAAACAGCCCGTCCCCATGATACTGGGACGTAAAAGAAGCTACTGCTTGAGCCCTGAGCATCACTAACACGTACCACATTCTCCGGGCAAATGTCTCCATGCTGAACATTTGCCATCTTTGCACTTCTCAAAGCTGCTAAACAATCTCTGCAGCAACGGATCACCTCCTCACAGGAAAATGGCCCATCTTGAGAAACAATGGATGAAACAGGCTCGCCAATGGGAAAAATCACAAGAACGGGGGTTCCACACAATGGATGATCACATTTCTCATTTGGGTTTTTTTTCTTACAACTACCCGGATGCAACATTTTGCCAGAGGCCACGATTTCAGGCAGATATTTGCTCGAAATTCCGGCCTGCCTCAAGACATTTAGAACTTTGGTTTGCCTTTGTACTTGATACCATAAACTCATATCTTCCCATGATGGTTCAAGTCTAGATGGATGAGCACCTACGTATAAAGTCAACAACTGCGTAGGATTTTCAAGTGATATAGCACTATAGCAAAAGGATTTTTCATCAAACAGTGGCTCTTGGATTTGAAAACTCTTTTCACCTTGCTGCTGATCTTCAACATGTATTATATCACCCTCTTGTAGCATCAGGTGTGATGCTTGATGCATAATAGCTGGATTAACTTCATGCTCAAGCTCTACAATTTCTCGTTCTCCTTGTGCGATATAGTCATGAGAGGGATGCTTACCGGTTTCAGTCCCCATAAGATGACACTCAATTCTTCTTTTCTGAAGTCGGAGGCTGTGATCTGATGCTAGTGAGGCTATTGATTTTCTTGGTGAACCACTAAATTGGACAATAGAATAGAAAGTTGCCAAGAGAAGCTGCAGAGTTCCCAAGTCCCCCCAGTTGGCATTTCCTAGCTTATTCCATATTCTGTCCACTCTAGAAACACTGACCTCTGAATGAGTCTTCATCCATTCCGCCACTGCCTGATATGGATTATCCACATTCAGCTCAAGGTGACGAACATCACCAGTTAGCTTCACCACTGCTCCAAACTTAGAATCCATAACCAGAATGTAAACTGAATTGTCATTAAACTCACAATGTTTGCTTAGCCTCCTTGAAATAAGTATATGAAAACCATAGAGAAGGGCTTCACTTAGAGCATTCAATGAGATCCCCAGTTTATTTCCCAGCATTATGTCAGGTTTGAATAACGATAATTGAACCACTTGGTCCCAATGGATATTTACATCATTTCCGTCTCTTGCAATTAAAGCTGCACCACAAAGCTCTGCAACTTTCCCCCTTGATATTGCTTTATCTAGAGAATAGAACCTTGATCGAGGATGACGAGCACAAGATACAACAAATGGCGAAGGGGAACTCTTATGCCAAAAGGTACGCCATAATCCATCAGCCATGGTGTGGAGGAAATCTTCCAGAGCAAAATATTCCTCTTCTTTTAAATCACTAGAGCAGTATAAGGAGGTTGGCATTCGAAAAAGTTGCTGAAAAAAGGTTCCCTCTAAAGCATAGTCAAGCTGACGGAGTTCATCAATCTGGAAAGGAGAGTCAAATGAATATTGTTCACCATGGTTGGAATCTGTAAGTGAATTTTCCAAAATCCAATCTTCTAGGCTCTGAATAAAAAGTTCGGAGTCAACTAAGTTTCTTGCGCAGTCTTTGAGTGCTTTGTAGGCTCTTTTGGAGATAGGAGCTAACTTGTTAAGAGATGCCAAGCCAGAAGAACCCTTACAGGCCCCTGAAAGTCATTAGCAATGCATATTGGAGATTAGGTAGTTATGTTTAAGAGGACTGAATAAATTTTGAAGTCTTCATTGACGCAGTGTAAGAGAACATGAAAAATACCAGTTTTTGGCTTTCTAAAACCTTCATCGAAAGTTTGTGCCGAGTACAGGTCCAGATCATTATGATGAAACCCTGAGGCATGTCACCTATTTAGAAACCAAAAATGAAATATATAATTGTTGAAAGATAAAAGTAACTTCGCTACTGACCAGTGTTGGATTTCCTGAAACTTCCATCCACACCATGTCCAGGTGAAGAGTCATTTTCTCCAAATACTGCAAGATGCCCACCGTAAGTCCATAAGATTGTGCAATATGCCATTTATGAATGTTTTCACCACATACAAACTTTATAATAAACTCAGCATAATTATAAGCCAGAAATTGCGAACTGATTCATAGACATCATCATAATAGCACCAAGGGGTGCCACTTGAATAATTAAATTATGTATCTTTTATAGCATTGCCGCATTGGCTGCAGCCAGAAGGAAACTATATATGTTCTAAATGAGGATCCTATCAAATCTATATAAATATCAAATGGAAGACCCTGCAAACCTCAGATAAAAGTCCATTTAAAGTTTGCAACAACTGGTAAATGCTAAAGCACGAGTCTTTTTTGGGGAAACTATATAGTTTATGTACAAAGAGGAATAATTTTATTATTGACACTACTGGTTTAGTTATCTTTGCAATTAACATTTAACATCTTGTTTGGTAAAGAGGTATTGTATGGTAATAAGAACCGGAAACAAGAACTTTCCAATGCAATTTGAAATTACTATACAGGAATTGGTAGAAAAGAAAAGGAACTGGCAGGAACGGCTCCTTTACACAAAACTTGCTTTCTTTTCATCCTAAATTAGGAAAATTTGGACAAAAAGAAAATAGCTTAGTAATTTTCCATGTTCTCTATAAAAAGCCAATAAGATAAAGATGCTTTTCGGTTCCTACTAATTAAACCACACAATGCGCAATTCTTTTATTCCTTGCTTTCCTCCCTCTTTCCTCCCTTTCCTCTCTTTTCCTACCTAATTGGAAGTAACTTTTTCGATTTGAGTTCTGCCTTCCATGAAGCTTATAGAATTTGCTTTTTCATATTTCATGAGGCTAATTTACAGCTTGAACCATAAAGTGATTAGGATCACTGTCATTTGTCTCAGATAATAACATGATAATAACAAATATATATATATATATATATATATATATATATATATATATATATATATATATATATATATATACGCACACAAATGATGTTAATATTAAAAAATAAATAAATGAATATGATATGGCATGCAAGCCAACATGAGCAACATTTAAAATAAAATACGAACCAGATGTAGATTTTCTGAAACTGCCAGAAAGACTTTGCCCAGTGGATGAGTCGATGTCATTCTGTTGAATGCCTGAGTGATGTTAATCATAGAAATCATACATAAATCGAGATACAATGGCCAAAGCATAAATAATTATTATGACAGTTAGATAGCACCAAAATCATATTAAATGACTATATGAAGGAGCATAAAGCAAACATGAAGCTCATTGAATAGATTGCCTATAGTTTAGGAACAATGTTTGTTAGGTTGCTAAGTATTTTGCAGAATGTGAGGTGAACGGTTAGTGGTTTAGTTTGTACAATAATCTATACGTGGGAATGTGGGATTATGCTTCACTTTTTATAGAGCTTATAGCTTTGTTAGTTTAGTCTATATAAAGCTTTTATTGTAGTTAGTTTTAAATGGAATAAACAGAGAGTCGTGTAACTTTTATGCTCTTCTCTTCCTTTCTCTTATATTTATAGTCCAACATATATGCAAACATTGTAAATACAAGATGGCATAAGCACACATTGAGCAAAGCTATAATGGTCTCAGGCATAATAGTCCAGCTTGTTGAATGCTACGTCACAGGTAATTTGGGGCTTAGATTGTGTCCTATGACTATTTAAAAGTAAACAAGGATAGAGTGGGGCCAAAATGATCAATTGACTGTTTGTATTTTAATTCACAACATGAGTCACAAACTAGTACAAACTTCTTGTAGAAAATAAAGTTAGCTACTAACCACAAGATTATTAACAAATAAAAACCTCAGTTTTCGCCCATATTTTATCTAAACTGTAGCCGAAACTTAATTTTTTTACCAATATGTCGCTGAAGATCTTTTTTTATTGTCTATAAGTTGCCTGAGAGGTAATTTTACCAAGTTGTCACTTTCCTCTATTTTATTCTACCTACTTGGTCATTTGAGCATTTGAGTGGTACAACAAAAAGAAGTTACTAGTACATTAAACCAGCGACCAATATGGTAACATCTAAGGCCAAATTGATAGGCCTATGTAAAACAATCACTTTAGATTCATAAAATTTAGATTGTGACCGTCGTAGATCACAGCTTTCACCATGTAATACTACTATAGTACTACTGGTAAATGTATCATCAATCTTTATGCGTGTTGGTACCACCTGGTTCTTCTAAACGCAACAACTCAAAAATCTATATGAACAAAATCCAATCTTGATACATATCCAATCACACCAATGTAGTCCCTAAGGCTTTAGAATCATTAACCATCAGTCTAGGATGAAGCAATTCTCACATCTCCTGTCCCAAATTTACAGGCTATGTTCAATTTTAGTCTGTCTCAATATGACAAGGTACTTTCTATTCTTACTTAGTATGTAAAAAATTGAATTCCCACATCACCGTCTATATACCCTTACCTAAGAATTCTAAAATGAGACTACATTGATATGGAAATGTAAGATATTTGTAGCAGTGAAAGATAATTATAACCTCAAATTAAAAGCGACCTGTTATTGAGGGACGGAGGCCAAAGGGTAAAGGTATACGCCTTCCGGTTTTTTTTTTATAAGCTAGAGTTACTATTTTCGTCCGTTTTTTTTATAAGCTAGAGTTCCATTTTTGGAAATCTCTTACAATTTAATAATATATCTTACCACTAATGTCCACACTCTTTCTTACTTTATCATTTCTTAGTCATCTAATGGTCCCCACTCCCTCTCACACTATTTTACTTTTCAATAAAATAATAACCTTATTTACCCCACTAACATCTTATTTTATTAAACCACCTAAAACTCCACGTAATCTCATCTCTAGCCTAAAAAAAAAAAAAAAAAAAAAAAAAAAAAAAAAAAAAAAAAAAAAAAAAAAACCGGAGAGAATACTTTACAATTTACATGTATCAGTTTCAACTTTCAATCGCAATTCACAATGACATTCTACCAAAGGGTGAAAATGATGTTATTCTATCACAACTCATGGAGTCATTGGAAAAAGTAACAGAAAATTGGAATATTCTTTATGATTCCTCATAGTAGAGGATGCCAGACCACCTTAGTAAAGTTTTGGGGATGACACCTAAGATTTTGGATCAAATTTTATCTACATCACTACCATTTAAGGCTCTCTAACCTCAAATCGAGGGTGAATACTAAATAATTAAATATTAACCTTGAACGTGAGGTGGTTAGACGGTTACTGGCCTTACTGCCCCTAATATACCAGAAATGCAGGCCAAACTCACAGATAATCCAACACAATTCATGCCAATTTTCAAATTCAGGGTTCTCAAACCGATATCATCAAACTCTACAAAATCTACTCTCTATCAAATAGACGCAAACGCGATATCCTTAATTTTCCTCACCTTAAAGCTGCTCCTCAAAACATACAAAGCCTTAAACCCTTACTACATTGATAGAAAAATTCAACACAATGCTCATAAGGTTACCTAAAAAGAATCATGTGAATTTCATTTCTGCTAATTTTCTGTAATTCAGTGCTCCATAAAATGCTTAACTGACAAATGTCACAATAAACACTGAAACAATCTTACCTCTTGGATTTTTGTCAAACAAATGATACGGAGTATTATTTAAACTTAGAATGAGCAAATATCAAACTCACCTAATCTCATTGCTTATTTCCAACAAATTTAGCTTCAAAGAAGAGGAATAACAGCAACTCTAATGCCACAAATTCCTGCATTACATAACAAAATTCTTCATGTCAGTAAATCTTATTTTAAGACCCGGGATCAAATCTCGTCTACATTATTAACACGTCACAAAACCTTATCACATTAAATCCATTACTAAAACATAAAATTAGAAAAGAAAACTTACTTAAAATTGCAGCTTTCGATTTGGAAATTAGGACCACGAACATCTAAATGCATGAAAAATGTAAGGTATATATGAAAAATTAAAATTACCCTTTACTCTAAATCAACCTGAAAATGCTATTTCCCAATTAAAAACTAAGAAAATCCAGAAATTTTTTTATGGGTTTTCAACTTATTTTTGCAGTTTTACAGTTTTTTTTTTTTTTTCTTGGATTTTCAAGTGAAGTAACTCAGTGTAAGAAAAAAAAAAAGGCGGAATTTTGAGAATTCCTAAAACCCAGAAAAAATGAATAATTAAAGAAGGAAAAAAACAAGAACACACATGTAAGATACTACTTATTTCAACACCATTATGACAGACATCTCGTGCTCTTCAAAAAAGGAATTGCTGATTAAATTTAAAAACTGAACAACACATACCCAAGAAAATTAATTAAATAAAATTAATAACATATTGTATTTTCTTGATTTTTTCAAGGAAAAAAATAGATTAAAAATAGAAGCAATATAACGAGAAAATAAAAGCTGTTGTGCCATACTAAAAGCTGAAAGTGGTCGGTTCCAGCAAAGCATTGACTGTAGGACCCACTGAAAATGATTTGACTTTACTCTTCTTTTCTAGTTGATTTTGGCGCGTAATTATCACGCTAACGTAGTTTTGTATGATATTTTCTTTTTTTTTTTTTTTTTTTTCACGAGCTTACTGTAGATTCGGGTACGATAAACTCTCTTTGGCCGTGGTTGCAAGGAGGTGCGTTCGGTGAACATAGCTCCTATCGACCTTGTGCATGTTGCACCTAAGTGCCTAATATAGCACTGTCAAAAACCGAACCGAACCGGTGAAACCGAACCGATTCAAACCGATCCGAATGAGAACCGAACCGATTAAAAACCGATTTTTTGAAACCGAAAACCGACCCGAACCGCATTTTAGTAAACCCGAAACCGAACCGATCCGAGTAATGTTAAACCGTTTTAGAACCGAACCAAATCTAAACCGAACTGGAAAGGAAACCGAACCAAAAATAAACCGAACCGTTTCTAACCCGAAACCGTTTAAACTGGCATAAAAACCGTTATAAACCGAACCGTTATAAACCGAACCGTTTACAAACCGAACCGTTTACAAACCGAACCGTTTACAAACCGAACCGTTTACAAACCGAACCGTTTATAAACCGGACCGTTTATAAACCGAACTGTTTATGAACCGAATCCTTATAAATCGAACCGTTTACAAACTACTTACTACTAGGAGTGGTTATTGGGTGGGTCAGTGTGGGTCGATGCAGATCATTTACGAAGTGAGTCGGTTGCAGGTCAAGATGAATATTTAGCGGGACATAAATAATAACCAATAACTCGAGATAAAAAAAGGAACAACATATCAATATGTAATGTGACTAAAACTATTAACACTTGTTCTATGAGATTAAAACATTTTAGCAATGAAGCAACACAATATATATTAAGCATCACTAGTTCACTACAATACAACATCCATGTCTTCTTAATTAGATGCAAAACTTTCATCTATCACTTCTTTACCAATTTCAAGGACGTCTTCTTCAATATCACAATCATAACCACGTAACCAATTTTGTGTGGTCACCAACGCCTCAACATTCTTAGGCAAAAGCGCACTCCTATACTTGTTTAAAATACGACCACCCATGCTAAAAGAAGACTCTGAGGCTACCGATGTAATAGGAATGGCCAAAACATCCCTAGCCATAACAACTAATATGGGGTACACACTACTTTGAGATTCCCAATACTTAAGAACATCGTACTTTTGCCCTTCATAAATTGGTTGTCGAGGAGTACACAAATAAGAATCAATCTCCATCGATGGCCGATTTGATGTGTCATCCTCCTCATCATCATCATTATCAACATACTAGAAAAGTTCAAACAAAATGCTTTTATTAAATAATAAAATTAAAACATAAAATTATTAATTTTGTAAACCACAATAATCAGAAATTGATTACCTTGAATATATCATCATCCAAGTGACTATTTGAATTTTCGATAACAGCTGGGATGGAGGGTGGAGCATTTGTACTTGATGTAAAACCGGAAGACAAAGAAGAATAAAAGTTATACAACTCCAAAAGAGCATCTTTAATCACCTTCGCCTTTTCAACACGTGCCTCATCAACATAAAGCACTTTTAACATCTTCATCACTCGAACAAGCTTATAACGAGGATCAAGAACAATAGCAATTGATAGGATCAAACTATATTCATCCCAATAGCCCTCAAACTTTTCAAGCATAACTTTTGCCATGGGTGCAAGTTTAGGATCTATATGGGCTTTACTTATTGTGTGCTCAATTTTTAAAACACTAGCAAAATACAAATTTGCAGTAGGATATTCTGAACCAGAAAATAACACAGTGATTTCATGAAATGGCTTTAGGAAATTACATATTTTAGTAAGGGTATCCCATTCATCATTCGAAAGTTTGAATTCATAACCTATAAACCTATCAATAACCAATTTCAAGGCTTCCTTTGCTTCCAAAGCTTTTCGAATCATCGTATATGTGGCATTCCAACGAGTCACAACATCAAGACGTAACTTTCCATTAAACACACAGTTAACCTCATGAAGAGCATGCTCAAATTGAGTGAGTCTAGAATCTGAAGAATCAATATATTTACAAACCTCACACAATTTTTGAACACTACTATCAACTTCTTTTAAACCTCTTTGAACAATAATGTTCAAGACATGAGCTGAACATCGAATATGAAAAAATATACCATTACAAGGAAGAGGAGAAGTCAACATTAAATCTTTCTTCAAAAGGTTAACCATAACATCCATGGATCGAGCATTATCAACAGTCATTGCAAAAGCTTTACCCTGAAGGTTCCACTCCCCAATAAGTTTTAACACAAATTTTTCTACCTCAACACCAGTATGAGGAGGACCACAATATCTAAAATTCAGAATTTTAGACCTAAGACACCAATTTTTATCAACATAATGTGCCGTTAAAGTAAGATAACCTCGATTAGTACATGCTGTCCACAAGTCACAAGTGAAGCTAACTCTACCTTCAATTCCCGAAAAAGATTGCAACAACAAAGACTTAAACTTATCATGCTCATCAATACAATGTTTCAAAATAGTGTTTCTACACACATGATTCACGTTGGGGTTCAAATTCGTAAAAACTTCCCTAAGGCCATGATGCTCCACGATACTTAAAGGATAGGAATGCAAAATTATAGCTCTAGCAAGCAATTGTAAATGACGTGTTTGATTAAACAGGAGCTCAACACCACTTTCATGATTTCCAGGATGGTGTGGATTTTTATTCATGCATGTCTTAGTATGAGCTTTACAAGTTGAAGTACCAGCATTACCTGGAGTTTTATATTCATTACCGCAAACATTGCATCGAGCATATTTTATCGGAGCAAGACCAACCATCTTATCAAAAAAGGTGTAATACCTCCAAACATCTGATGTTCGTCCACGCTTACTACCACTAGTGGTACGTTGAGTAGAATCTTGATTCTGAACAGTAGAATCTTGATTCTTTACAGTAGAATCCTCATCAAAACCAATAAAGTCTTGCTCCATTGCTGAAAAAACAAAAACACAACAGTATAAATCAAGTGAAAAAAAAGGCAAATTAAGGGCAAATAAAAAAAATAGGCAAATTAACACAGCAGCTCCGGACCTGCTTGCTTCAAGCAAAGCACACCAGCAACCTAGCCCAGCAACAGACAGACAACACAGCCCAGCTAACACAAGACGACAGCAAAACCACAGCTGCAATACCCTAGAAAACCAGCAGCAACCAACCCCAGCACCCAGCCTGCAGCAGAGACATCAACTAGGACAGCACAAACCATGGCCAGAAAGACTCTGCTCTGAACAGGGCAGAAAACACCCAGCAGATCCTACAATCTAGCCTTGTACATCTAGCAGATCTGGCCAGACATTAGAACATCAGCAGCACAGGACAGACCCTAGCTAGTACTACATGCTCTAAGCTGAGATAGTCCATCTACAATTCAGTCCTAAAATATACTAAACACTATTAGACAACTCCTATCTGAATGCACTTGCACTTTTGCAACAAAACAAAACCCAAACTTAAATAAAAAAATCCTGCTAGCATTCAGCATTAACCCACATAAACAGAAACACTAATGAGAGAACAATGCAGCTGATAGAACAAAGGATAGCATTCAGTATATTTGAAGACTAATAGAGCATTATAGACAAAGCCATACATTTTAAATGCTCAACAAACAGCAAACAGTCACAAAGGCAGACCAGCAACAACACAGCAGCCTGAAAAAAACCAAGCACAATTAATAACACGAAAAGAAACCACGAGCATGAATAAGGTAACCAAATCAACTCAATTGTTGCTCATGGTACTACAACCACAACCCTGATCAGAACTGAGCATAGCCAAAGCTGGTAAGGCCAGAACACCTCACAAATAGATATAACAAAAAATGAACAACAAGAACAATAAAATTAAAAAATCAGAAATTAAATGAACAACAAGAACAATAAAATTAAAAATTACATGAACAACATCAAAAAATCAGAAATTATATGAACAAATCAGAAATTATATGAAATTATATGAACAAATCAGAAGTAAAAATCAAAAAATAAAGACATGCAAATCCTGCAAACAACGAATCAGCAACATAAAACCGAAATGAAAACAAAAAAATTAACATAAAATTACCTTTGAGCAGTGACGGCTTGAAGGAGAGGAAGATTTGAAGATGGAGAACTGGAGAATGAAAAAAAAAACGAGAATGGAGAGATCGAAAAAAAAATCGAAAAAAACGAAACGAAAACAAAAACAATTAACTAAAATTTACCTTTGAGCTATTGAAGGCTAAGAGTTCAGAGCTTGAGAGTTGAGAACTTGAGAGTGAGTGAGGATTCAACGCTTCGATTTGAGGATGAAGAAGAAGAACGATGAATGCTGTGGAATGAAGAGGATGAATGAAGAACCTAATTGCCTTTCAGTCTTTCACAGTTTCACGTTTCACTTTTTTTTTTTTCTCTTTTGCATAATATATGAACCACATGTTTATTTAATTATTAAAGAATCAAAATATCTAAATTCTAAATCTAAAATGTGTTTTTCCTTTTGGTTTTTGGAGGGAAATTTCCCACCATATTTTGTTGAAATTGTCAACCAAA